AGAATCGTGGGGATCCACGATTGACAGAATTGTTCCTGAAAGACCAAATGCTTTCGATGGAGATGAAGAAGTTGTTGGAACAACAGCCAGCGAATGTTTGTGTTTGCAAATGGTGCACCATTTGGGCACTTGTCCCTTCGAAAGATTTTTAAGGCAGCCCTTATTTTAATGTTCGGACCTTCATATCATAGGCATTTTATTAATAATTCATATTCATCATCGTCATTAACAAAATTTTGTACTTCAAAAGAGATTGAAAAAGTAACAAATCAAGAATGTTTGCCTTGGTTTAAAAAAGAATGTAGTGTATCTGAGTATGATCCTGTTTTTTAATAAGTGAAAATATAGTATTTTAATGTAAAGTTGACTTTTTTTCGCTGTGAAATGCTTGCAGAACATTTGTGTAAATGAATAAGTCCTGTTGCAGAACATTTGAAAATATTCTGCTTATGGGATTACTTTTAACACAAGTCTGGATTTGGGCTCAGTCCATCTAATCTCTTATGTCCACGTGTATCATTACAACCTCTCTCTTCCTTACAATATCATTCACTAAAGCTCTCTCAAGGGCGCGTAGCTAAATGTTTCAACAAATAATAAGCACTTTAACCCCTTGCGCTATTTTCACAAATCTGACTCGTGAAAATTTTAGACCAAACTTGTCTGGCTCATAATCGACATTTCGCATATCACGAGCTGTACTCGTGATCTTAATCTCGAGCTAAACAAGAACGTCTGAATGGAATCTTCTTTATATGAATAGATGTTTTATATCTTGTCTCCTAATCCTCTGTCTGTCTTTCTTGTCTTGGGACATTTGAGTGCACAAGATAGGCACGGCTTATAACGAATTTCAGTGATGTGCACAAGGGGTTAAAAAGATATAATAATTAGGACCTGTACACTAATAAAAATTGTCCTATTGTTGTAAGTTCTTCATATATATATACATAACATAAAAGCTTCAATTAATCTTTTTATATTATTCGTTTTCTGTAAATCCTTTTCTTAATTTATTATTCAAAACTAAACGTTCTCGCACTTGTAAATTCACATCCTGTCCTTTAATCTATTTTTGGCTCAAGTATGCATTCATTACAAGTAAGACATTTTTCCCTTTGCTCTTTGTGGGAATCGCGCGACCTATTTAATAAACCAATTAATATCACTAAGATTTCCCTAAATCGAGACATCTTATGGATTTTCTTTGCAAGATCTTCCCCGACTTTTATTTCATTATGATTTAGTGTCACTCTCTCATTTCCATAATGATTAAATAAAATCAATTTGCTCTTTTTATAAACCTGTATCTGTTTGTTCTGCACACACAACTGCCACCACTAGATATCTATTAACAGAATGCAAAATAATTTTCAGACTTTACTTGATCATCATAAAATAACTAATTTCTGACAAGGAACTCTTTATTATATTAGCCACTACAAAAACAAATCATACACAATTTAAAATATTTTCTAGAAGTGGCTCATTAAATTTTTAGGTAAAAAGTATTAAATTCAAAATTATAATTTAATTTAATTTAAACTGTTATAGAGTTTAAAGTTCTTAACATTTAAGTAAAAGTTATTTATAAAAGCATATTAAACAAAGCATTAAGAAGATTAATATATTGATCATACTGAATTTATAAAGATATCTAAAGAATTAAGAAAAACATATTTTAAATAAAAAAATTAAATTCAATCTAAATATTTTACTTACATGTATTTAAAGAAATTTTTTTTAAAATAAAAAAAAATTAAGTTACTAAAAACGAAAGTAGTTATACATTTAGGTAAATTCTGTTTAAAATTATTTGGGGTGAAATATAATTTAAGAAGCATTGCTAGATCCTTTTTTCATTTGTTCAATAGATATAAATTTCTATTGACTAATTGTTATGTTCTGACATATATAATAAATGTTTTTATTGATTTATCTATTTTTTAAAAAATAATGGACTTGAGGTTTATTAGTTTAAAAATATTTAACTTACATGTATTGAATAAAAATTTTAAATAATAAGATTAATAGTACTACTGTTAGTAAATTATTAAAAAAATTATTTTTAAACATCAAAACTAAATCATTTTAAATCATCTTTATCTTTTATTTAATTTTTAAAAAAAAGTTCAATTTTAACTACAGTTGAATTTTTAAATAAATTAAAGCAAGCTTTGTTTCAATTTTTTCAAAAATGAAAACAGCTTATCTTTAGGATTAAAAAAAAAAAGATGCAAGAAAAAAATATATAATTCTTTAATATTAAGGAAAAAATGGTTAGAAAACTCACTAAAATACACATGAGCATTAAACATTTTGAAGAGAAAAAATATACAGCGACTTTCAAAAATTGAATGAATTTTTTTTATTTCGAATAATAAAGTCTGATTAACTAATGGTCGAATATCAAATTTTGTTGTTTTTAAAAATATAAAAGACGAATGATTTCTGAATTGTTATTAATACAATTGTAAAAAAACATCTGAAGGTTCCTACCTTTACAACTTCTGTTTAAACAGTTCACAACTGCTTAGTACAGCTTAATGTACTAGGTGATATTTTGAAACAAATAATTTTATTTTCAATTAAAGTAATACGATTTCTGACCTCAAATCTGTGGGAGAAGGCGACAGGATTGCTGTATTTTGAAAGAACTTGCTTTTTTTAGCAGTATTACTATTTATTCTTGTTGCAAGCAGTGCATATGTTAGTATTGATATTAGATTTGAGTAGCGAAACAAAGTTTGTTTTCCAAATTATCAATTAGATTTAAATTTTGAAGTATTTAGTATAATAAGTGTTTAATTATGAATTTTATTCTAAAATCTATTTTATTACTTCTCAAGCTACTAGATAATATAAAATATATGTACAGTCCCTAGCCATATTTTTAGACACACTCTAAGATTTCATGTGAAATTATAATTTCCAGGTGATACTTCACAGCTGTATTGTTTTTACTCGTCTGAAACTGGCTTGCATTTGTTTACACTCCTTTATCAATTGGTTAACATTGTAATGCAATACACTAAAAATAAATACGAATAGGAAGTAATAAAAATCGCCAGAATAAAAACCCATTACATGTATGTTTAACTGTTATGTTTACATGTATGATCAACTAAAAAGCAGAAAAACCAATGTTATGTTTCAATATTTCAATAAAGGAAATAGTGACTTTCCGATAGTTTAAAACAATTGTCATGTCACGTCACTTGATAATAAGTTTTTATTTTAATAACCCAAAATGTGTGTTATTTACAATTTGCTAAGATTTTATGATGTAAAAACTTCGCCAATTACAAATGAAAAATTAAATTATGAAGTACACATAAAATGAAATTATTAATGGAATGTGAATGAATATTATAGATATTGGTTGTTCATGATATGATCAATTATTAATTAAATTTAATAAGCCTGCATGCTTATTAAAATCTTAAATTATATACTTAGAATGAACAACAATGTAAACAAATGTTTAAAATTTCTTCATTTTACCTTCATTTCAAATGCAACAATTATTATTAACATATAAGTGGATAATTTTTTAATAAGAAGATTTTTTTAAAACAAATTATGTGTTTATTTATAATTTTAAAATAATGACATAACATTATGCTTTATATTTTAAAAAAAAAAATTTCAGTAATTTTAAGTTTTATGGAAATTATCTGTGATATATTATTAATGCATTGCTATTTCTTATTTAAATTAATTATTTATTTTTAAAAATCCCTTTTCTTAATGTACCAGTCATTTTCGTTTCGCCTCCTATTATATAGAACGATTGCAAATTATGTTCTCATGTCTATGTAGAGTTAAATAAAATATTATACAATTTCAGAAAAAGCAAATTTTCTTGGTAAGCAGTTAATCTTACTTTTACATGCATGAAAAAAAATGCTTTCTTTTTATATTATGATAAATTTTTGGATACCAATTATTAAAAAATTCATTTTTGTAGAATAATTGATTCCCATAATTGGAAGGAAAAAAACAGTCATATTGTTGTATTTAAATAGTATTCACTTTCATAGTCAAAATTTATTGAAAAAGGAATTTCATTCACATTGTAATACAAAAGACAGAAAAGCTTTTATTTAGTATTACTGCAAAACAAAAAACTGCAGATCACATTTATTCCAAATTCACTGTTAACAACACAATCATGATTTTAAAGTGAAATTTCTATTCTTATATTTTATACAACTTTAAAAGTAAGGGACCAATATTTTTATTACATCACATTGTTAATTCATCAAATCATTCAATTGTTATGATTATAACTATTTAGGCAACACATTTTGCTGGAGGATTCAATTTGCACTCATATTTATAAAGAAGCAGCACATGTTGTTTACAATTAAATAGCAAAATTCAAAAGAAAAAATTGGTAAAAAATGAACACACAATTATTTTGTTCAAACTTTTCTTTCAACCTACAACTTTTTATGTGACAGAGAATATATATTTCAAAGATAAAAACTTATTAAATATTTGTGTTAAAAACATAACACAGAGGACCAGTGACCCCTGATACACTCTCGTAACATCTAAAAAATGAGTTGCTTATGAATTTTGTTTCCTTACTAAACTAGCATTCAGAGTAGTTGAAAAAAATTGCTAGAAATAGTTTTTCGATAAGTAGTGCACTACACTTCAAACTGTGAGAAAAGGGGTGACTACAAGTAGTTTCTTTACTTGTAGCAAGTTTTTTTTTTTTTTTTTTTTACAGCAAGAGAAAAGCCACATAAAGTTTTGTTCAACTTCATAAAAGGAATTTGGCATCTTTTTAAGGATCAAAATATAATAAGCTACAGCCCACAGTTGAAAGCTGAAAAATTGAAACTAGATAACTTTACATTGAACCAAGAGTTTTGCAATGCTGATTTTTTTTATTTTCATTATATTCAGGCAAGACAATTGTGTCGTTCTTTCATCACTTCATGTTTAAAAAATTGAGAAATTTTGTTTCTATTTGTTTGTTTTTCTGTTTTAACTAAAGCGAAGCACTTCTAATAGACTTTATTCTTTAAGTGTCACTTATTTTCTTGTATCGTAACACAGATAAATGACAACATAGAAAACTTTGATTCTCAATGTTGAAGTTCAGAACTAAGAGCAATTTTCTTCCTGTTTTTCTTTAAATTTTTTTTTTTATTAAACTTTCTTTTTATCAGGATTTTTCAAAGAGCTTTTCTTATAACCGTTATTTTTTTAGGGTCACTTTTTTCGAAAAATACGGCAATGTTAAAAAGAGATTTTGAAAAACAATTTTTGTTTTGGTTTCCATCTAGCTTTTCTTTTTCAAAAAAACTTATGTTTTCATAGATGTTTTTATTATTAGGCAGTAATCAAGAGGGTTTCTATTATGCCTTAATCTGGAAAACTGAAATGTTTAGCTCGAAAATTTTCTTTCAAAAATTAAGAACGATTTTTATTTTTTCTGTTTTTGCTTTTTTATATAATCTTTGTTTTCTATGGGCAAATTTATGATAGTGCTGCATTTTTAAAAGCGTTTCTGATAGACATGATCTCTTTAAATGTTTTATGGAATTTCTCTTTTTCAACTTTAACTTCTTTTTAATAGCTGTTATTTTTTTATTTATCTTAAATATTTCTAATTATCTTAATATCTAATTATCTTTGTAATCTTAAACATTTCTATTAAAGGTTTTTTCCCTTTAACCCCATGCCAATAATAAAACTAAATATTTATTAATGACTTTTTTTTAAAAATTGCGATTTTAGTGATTTTTTTTCTTTTTTTGGCTGAGTATTTAGCCATTCTGCCAAATCACTGTTTGTTACATCAGTAGTTATTTTTGTTACCCTTAGAATATATTTATAATTAAATGTCTTTTTTGTCATTTATAAATTATCAAAATTTAAAAAAGAATAATATTAATTACATTCACATTGCAAATTCAAGAGAAAAACTCATGTGTTTTTGTAAGGAAACTGTCATACATTTTTCAAGAATATATATGAAAATTTAAAAAAGAAATGCTTTTTAAAACAATGGCTCCAAGCTTTATCTTAAATGCACATAAAAATAAAGTTAAAATAACTTTTAAGTGTCAATTCACTTAAGTTCTGTTACTTATTTTGTTTTAATTTAAGTACTAACACAGCACATATAAGGCTAAGTTGATGAACCAAACAACAATTTTGTTAAAGAGCTGTTGCTAAATCTGTACTCAGCTATTTTTTTTTTTTAGTTAACATTTTCCAACTATGTAATAGTTAATTGAACAGAAATTCGTTGTAGTATTTTCCAAGCTCCAATTCAGAAAAGTCCATCTTTTCATCAATGTAACTTCCTTTTCCAATTAGCTCCAAATTAACCTTGTTTTTGTATAGGTCCAATTCTTGAAAGGAATTGTTTCCATCTGACAACAATTCTATTTCCCACATGGCATATGGACTTAGCACTATACCCCCAGATTGAAGCATGATACACATACTGTTGTTATTTATGGATTCTCCATTTCTTGACTTTTCAAAAGACCATTCAAATGTATAGCAGCCGGTGGGAATTACGTAAATTCTGTCACCACACCTGTAGTAAGAATTACCTAGATGTGTTGCTTTCACTTTATATTTTTTTAAGGCTTCATCCAGTTTTGATTGCGTGTCATTATCTCTCGCTCTAAAGTACAAATCTACATGGATCAACTTGATGGCATATTTATTCGATGGAGACATCGCAATATCTGCTTTCACAACAACTTTCTCTCCAGAGAGTAATTTTGATATCATTTTTTTGTATTGCTCATTTTCCCAAACAAAAAATGGCCGAGTCGAAACACAGCCACTCAGAAAATCAGTAATGACTAAATCATGTTTCATGTTTGTTTTTTGGTCTATTATTAAATCTTTTATTTCTTTTAACTTTTTTCTGACTTCAGACACACATTTATACCATTGACCATTTGATGACAATTGAAGATGGTAATGTTCTTCATAAAGGTAACCAAAAGGAAAGATCCATTGCTTCAAAACATCCATCAATACATTATACTGTTTTAAAAGAAAACTATTATCGATTACTTTGCGTAGTTCTTGGAATGCAGTGGCCAATTCTTGATTAGAAAATTTTACATTTTCTGCAATGGCGGCATAATAACTGGCTCTGCTTTTGTTCAAAAGCTGAATTTCTTTGAAACTTAGCAAATGATTATATATATGAATCATTGTAATAGTGGATTCTTCTAGTTTTTCAATGTATTCAGCTACATCTCTACTTATTTTAAACCATTGTTTTAATCTTATTAAGTGAGACTGTATATCCTTTAACACACCTTGTACTTTCCAGTTACCAATATCAAGCGATATCTTTGTCTTTCCGTCCTTGCTATGCATCGAGTTATCAATATCGATTTCTATTTTTTCCAATATTGGTATAACCGATTGACAGATTTTATCCTCCAACAACTTTAGCATTTGCATATTAATTGTAACTTGTTCGAAAGAATTAGCCATTATATCCATTTTTGCTTTATATGTTATTGGATTTTCTTCCAATAATTCTATGATCATTCTTGCATTATTTTGAATTTTAATCTTTTTAATTTCTTCCTTTAAAAGAGCACTACTTTTGCTGGAGGGCAGTTTTGTAGTTTCATTACCTGAAACTGAAGAATCATGTTTTTGTACAATAGTCAAAATTTCAACTGCAATAATTTCTAAGACATCAATAATATGATGAAACTTTTCTACTGTGATTGTCACACAGCGTAACTGTATGAAATCTTGTAGCTCCTCTTTCATGTTAAGAAAATTTTGTTTTTCCATTTCGGATTGCTCTTTCAAGACAAGTATTTCATCAAGCAATTTATTAATTTCATTATCATGCTTTCCTTTGATTGCATTAATTTCAATACAAAAATTAGTATTAATAGCCCTATTTATTTGTATTTTTTCATCAATATTTTTTCTATTATTATCAGCAATTTTATTTAGAACTAATAATACATCATCAACTGTTTGTGGCTCTTTTCCAATTTTAATACAGTCATTCATGAACTTTAGATGACTGTAAATATCATTTGTTAGATAACTGTCATGCCTATAGTGCAAGCTGTTTATGTTTACTGAACAAGCAGAGTTGATAGCACTAAGCAATATTTTGCTGTCACAAGGATCGTTATCATGATTGAGTTCCGAGTTAAAGTGGCCGATTCTATACAGTAATGATTGATAAAATCCATTGAAGTCTATTTCCTTATGGAGTTTTGGATGTTCCTTCACCAAAAGAAGGAATTCATTGTGAAATTCTAATGCATTGTAAGCATTTGTAATTATTTCGCTGTTATCTAAAAGTTTCAAACACTGAAATACAGAATTTTTTTTAAAACCATCACTTATATTTGATAGCAAAAAATGTCTAAACAAAGTTATGAACCTAACAAAATCTTTACAGATAGGTACAGGTCTTGCTATGTTTATTTCATCGCCATCTCCTGCCTTATGGTCAAAAATTTCAACTGTATATGTTTCTTTTGGTTTGAATAATTTAGCTACGATTCGAGAAAAAGGTGTGGATAGTCTTTCTACTGAAACATTTCCAACAATAAAACCCACATTGGAATCAGTTATAAACGCACCGCTTTGATTGAAGGTTTTATCCATAGTGTCGTTACTCTGCAAGCCTGGAATAATGTTAACTAATAAATTGGATTGTCTTTGAATGACTTCTTGGTTGTTGTGAGTTAAAATTGTCAAGCTTTCATAATTTAAAAACCTGTAGCAAGCGCTAAAAACAAAACCTCCAGATTTATTCCCGTCATTGCTTAGATCTATCTTTCTAGCATCAATAACCTCACATGTTGGTGCAAAGAAAAGAACAGATATACCTTTACCTTTCAAAAGTACATCTTGATCAATAAATATTTTACTTGAAGCGATTAAACAAACTGTTTTCATATCCTTATGCAACCCAAAGAAATTTTCATTTTTATCGGAAAAGGTAACAGCTTCATCACAAGTCACTTCTGGTATGTTTTTTAGGCTTATGTACTGAGCTTTAATCACCATTGCAGTTCCTACAAAAGAAATTTTAGTTTCGTTCTCGAATGCTAGTTTCGAAACTTGGCTCATTTCTTCAACTTTCCCTTCATCTTTACTAAACTGTTTACAATTTTTAATATTTCTGATGCTAAAAGAATTTTTATGTTTTTGTACTTTGTACTCAGAGAGTTCATTGTAGAGTTTAAATAAACGCGTTTTAAATACTTCAGAATCAAGGAGAAACTTATTGACATCTTGCAATGCATCTGACCATGCTGATGATGATGATCCAGAGTTTATCTGTTTTTTGTTTAAGTTTTCAAGAAAATTGATACTTTTTCCTAAATTTAAAAGAATAGATAGATATTTCCAAGGTATACAAATTTCTAAGTCCTTTTCACATGCATAAAATGCTCCTACCAACTCACATATTGCAGTTGTGTTTTTTATTTTATTTATTTTGTCATATAAGGTAGCCTGGTCTTTTTGCAGCTTATGAATTAAGCTTATGACATCTAATGATTTTGTTTTTTTATCATAATCGACTTTCATTGCTTCTGTTAAACTATAAAGACTATTTCTTATTCGATTCCCAATCTTATCATTGGTAGTAAGGATAAAAAGTTGAAGATCCTTTTTAAAAATATCAAAATTGGCTAATGTGACTTGAAATATGTCAGACCATCCCTTTGTATTTAAGTTCTTTTCACAAAGGATTTCCAGAAAAGCCAAGTATTTTCCTTCGTTGATTATTTGTGATTTAATTTCATCAGAAATAGCTATCTTCAGATTAGATAATTCTTTACTGATTGTCCGTATCACTTCTTCCACTTCGTTTAAATTGTTTATCCTTTCTGCTATGTCAGCAATAATAAAAGAGCTACTTCTATATCTTAATAACAAAGTACGAGTTTCCTTTATGGCAGTTTCTACATTCTCCGGGGCTGTTGCAAACGAGTCTAACTTAATATGAATATCTTTTTCTAAAGAGAGAAAATATTTCTGTACGTAATCTGCTATCTCCTCAAACTTCATCCGCAATGTTGTACTCATTTCTTCCACTGAATCATAAATATCATTCTTCAATTTTTCAGACAAGCCATACCCAAAGCTATCTTTGTTCTTATATGTAAAATCAAGTTCTTCAAAGATTATCTTTTTTATAGGATTTTTTGCAATCTGGCACGTGTTAATTTTGCTCAAAGGTCCTTTTTCATCAGGACGTCTGAATAATCCAATTTTTGTATATTGGTTTCCATTTTTGAACAGCATTATATCAATGATCTTGATCGCAGCTTCATGGTATTTTTTCTCTGTGCTTGTCTCTGATTTTAATCTATTTTTCAAGTCTTCTTTAACATGCATTAAAAAATCAGCCACGTACTTGATTATTGACTCATCGCTTACTGGCTTGTAGTTTCCCCCTTCCTTCACAGCTATATTATCAACTTTTGTTACAACGAGAGCGATACTTAGTCGAAATTGGTCAATGTCTTTTATAAAATCAAAAGCATTTCTCATCAGTGACATGAAATCTTTTCTGTTTTCTCCTTCCTTGACCGATGAATAACTTACAGTGAATATCATTTTAATGCATTCGGCATGATCTGCTGCTACTTTTATGAAATGTGTTGTAGCCAAATCGTAACCCGTGCTTCTCGTGTCCCCGAATCCAGGGCAGTCGTAAAAAACATTGTTGGTGATTGGATCTACTACAAGCTCAGGAAATATTGTTTTTGAGTTGATTGTTGATCTACCAATTCTTTCATCAACGTCATAAATTAAAAACTCTCCTGATCCCATGTCTTTTGCTATCAACATGGAATTGTCACCCACTATCCATTGAGTGAATGTACTCTTTCCTGTACCTGTAACACCTAAAACTAAAATCACCTTCTTGCAGTTATCCAACAGCTTAATCTCCTGCTTGCTTCTTTCAACAAGATCGAAAGCATGCTTCATGTGAATGTGGACATCTTTTTCAGCATTCTGCAAACTGTCTGTGTCTCCTGTTTCCATGATGGCTTTATTAAACATAACCCATTGATATAGAATAACTGCTGCTTGCTGGCTTATTCATTCCACGAGTCTGCAAAATAAGATTTATTTAATAAATACACACAGCAAGAACATTCATTTTAATTAGAGGAACAGAGTTTTTTTTTTAAAAAAAAATATGTAACTTGTTATTTTACAAAACATAAAAAGAAACAAGCCAGTCAGTGTACCTAATGAGGCTACATAAAGCAACAGTCCTTATGAGTCTTATGTTATGGATGGTAATAGTGTGCCCACAGCAGATTTTTAACAGTAGTTAATGGAAACTTATTGATTAGGGCGGTTTGGTTGGTAGGTAACATTGCAAGTTCTGATCAGCCTTGGGAAGAAAAGAAAAACAAAAAACATGAGTTTTTTTTATTTAAACCAGTTTTTTTTTATTTATTTAAATCAGGTTTTTTTTTTTTTAACATCGAAAAATATTTTATGTCCTTAACTGAAATCAATTAAGCTATTCCTAAGTATTTCAGAGTATTTAACTATTAATTAATGTTTTCAATTAACTATTGAAAAATATCCATTTTTGTTTCGTAAATATGTTAAAATAATTAAAAAAAATACTTTAAATATGCTTTTATATTTTTTCTACGACTCCATTAAATATTCAAATAAACAATTAACATTTACATTTTATTTTTATAATATATATGCTAGGCGATTTTCCACCCTTGATTATCTATAACAGTGGTTTCCAACTGGCGGCCCGGGAAGCCCTTTTTGTGGCCCGCGAACTAAAATATATTAGTTGTCATTTTTTTGCGGAAAATTTTCGTAAAAAATCTATATGGGTTTGAAATACTTTTCTCGTTAATAAAAACCTAATTTCTTCGTTTCTTTGAAATTTATCATACCAACGGTGCAAAAAAATTATTTCTCAGGTTTTGCATCCAAGAAAATATTTATTCAAATAAAGAAAATAATCGTGTATGTTGCTCTTTTTTATTTCATTTTTTTTTTGTATTTTGTGAATATAATTTAGCATGTATCAGAAATTTTCTCGAAGAAATTCTCCGATTTAACTTTTTGAAACTACTCATTTTAGACGAAATTATTTACACACACATTTGTAAATTTTAAATTTAAAATGCAAATATCTATTCTCTGGTGGTTGCAGCAGACAAACCTCAATTTCGTCATTGAACATTTTGTGTGTTAGTACTATGTAAGTTTTAATGCCAACCTTTCTAAAGTAATGCTTCAATATATCTTAACAATTAGATATCTGTTGCACATTAATTGCTTAATACATGGGTGCACATTTAAGTTATTGTAGCCTGATTTTTTTAATATGCAATTAAATATTTTTAAAAATCAACTTCTTGTTTTAATTTGTAATTCAATACTTTTGTTTTGTACAACTTGGTAAAAATCTGACAGTAATATTTAATGTTCCTTCAAACTTTAAAGAGTCCTACATGAAAATTTGACAAAGTTGCGGCCTGCCATTTGAATTTTGTTTTTGATTGTGGCCCCCGGCCTTCTGTTAGTTGGAAACCCCTGATCTATAATATTGAAATGTGATGCTAAATATTAAATGCTTCAATATTATTTAATTAATATCATTTGTATGCAATTTATTATATTAGAATTAAGTTTTATAAAATTAAATTTTTTTTTAAATCCATTGAATTTATAGGTACAAATTTTAATTTCTGGCCATGTATCTTATACATTTTATTTTATTATAATTAAAAAATACTTCAAAATAATAGAATAACAAAAAAGTACATGGTACAAAAGTAACATGGGTTGCATATAAAACTAAGAAAGTAAATTTTAGTAGAAATGGTTTAATAATAAACTAGTTTTTTTTCATTTATTTTAATATAATAGAACTTTAAAAATAACAGTGTAATTGTCCTGATATTTTTTATTTTCCTGATAAAAAAATATTTTGTCATTATTTGTCCCTTGTTTTTAGCTTTTGTCCTGATATTTCTGATTTATGTGAGTTTAGCACATCCCATTTTCTACAAATACTAATGCAATTCTTAAAATAAATGGTTTGAATAATCGAAAGATTTGGATTATCCATCAAATATCTTTTTCTTCTAATTTATAGTTCATTGAACTAATTTATTTTTAAACACAAATGTTAAGACCCAGATTCACTATATTCTCATTTCAAAATTATTGAAACCCCACTTCATAATATTTGATTAAAGAAGTTGTGAACTTGATTGAAAATTTTAAGTATTGATATGTAGGAATGTTAACTATTTGATATTTATTATTTTTTTTCATGCAAAGTGACATTAAAATTTCCTATATAATTATCTCAAACTATTTTGAGTGGCTCAGTGCTTCATTAATTAAATTCAGGGGTCTGTCTAGGTTTTACTGAGAGGTACCTATTTTGTGAAAATTGATACATAATTTGTGAAAAATTAAAAATTATATTAAAGAATTCAACACAAAAATATGGATTTATCGTTTCTTAAAGGACAAAAAAATAAAATTTTAAGAAAAAGTATTTTGTGAAACTACCATTTTTCCTAAAATTGAATTTGTGAAACTACCGTTTTTCCTAAAGTTGAATTTGTGAAGGTACCCCTGAAATTATACAATAAAACATTTTAAAACTTATTTTTTTGAATAACTCTGGCATTAAAAATAGTATAATTTTTATTTTTTTGCGTTAAAATTTGCCCCTATTGTACTTAAGTAGAGAAAATTATGCTTTTTTTTTATTTGTTGTTTGCCCTTTTTCAAAAATAGTTTAGTCTGCTGCATCAAAAAATATCCTGATTTTTTCTTTAACCCACTTCAAGGTCGTCAATTCACTTATTAAAAAAAAGCAGCAATGAATAAAGAGAAATGCAATAAAAATTTTGTAAATTAATCTGAATATTTTATTTATTTTTTTAACACAAAAAATACATTTTTAAAATATTACAAAATATGAATAAAATCAAAATACAATAAAAATTTGTTTACTTTGATAACAGAAAAATGTTTTTAAGCATTAACTGATAAGTAACTTATAAAATTTAAACAAGTTTCCATTAATGCTTTTGATCGTAGCAAGCTTTAACAAAATAAAAATTGCTCTCATTTTTTTAATTTTACTTGTCCAATAATAACATTATTTAACTAATAAATTTAAAAATTTTTAGAAAATGGAATTCATGATGCTGTACAATATTTTAAACATTTTTAGAACATTTTCAAGGTCTGTCCAGACCAAATTTACTACCGTTAAGCGGTACCTTCACAAATTCAACTGAATCAAAAACGGCAGTTTCACAAAATACTTTTTCTTAAAATTTTATCTTTGTATCCCTTAAGAAACGATAAATCCATATTTTTACTATATTTTTGTGTTGATTTTTTAATATCATTTTTAATTTTTCACAAATTATGTCTGAATTTTCACAAAATAGGTACCTCTCAGAAAAGCCTAGACTGACCCCTGATTTTGTTCACAATGTATTTTTATAGATACTTTTGCACGAAAGCTCTGAAGTCAGAACATTTAAAAATTATAAATCTATGTTTATTTAAAGAAAGGCAAATTCCCACTAAACGTAAAAATAGAAACTCTTTGTAAGAAAATTTGAAGAAAAAAACATTCATTTGGTTCTAGTTAAAAGAAAACTCTTAAATAATTTTAAAAAAACTTTCCTTTTAAAAAGATTATTCAAAAAATAAATAAATAAAAAAGTTTAAAAATACCTTAATTATGATTTTGGTTCTAAATTGTCATAAAAATAAATTTCTTTTAGTTAAAAGTAGTCAGTAAAAAGTTAAGGTAGTTTATATGGGTCATTCTCACAAAAACAGTCATTTTCATGTCCCCAGTATATTTTATGTTTGTTTTACAGCTTACGAAAAAAAAAAAATTCAGGGAAAGTGTCCTTCAGAATGCACAAAGGAATAAAAATAAAATTATCAATTTTCATTTTTTATTTATTTTAGGTAGTTAAAATATACCAATATGTCATTCCCTCACTTGTCCCCACTGCTGATTTAAAAAAAGAAAAAAATTGTTTCTGAAATAAAAAATTTTTACAAATTCATGTTTTTTATTTCAGAATACTGAAATATAGAATTCAGAAAATCAATTTTAAATTTAATTTCTGATAAAAATATTAACACAGCACTATTTTAAACTTTGTCCCCAGTGTTTCGCGTCATTCCCTCACAACAATGTTCTTATCACCTGCAATCTTCTTAGAATAAAAATATTTTAATAAAAACTTCAGAAGTTAACAACTGGCATCATAGAACAAAATTGCAGTATGTTTCCATCTTCAACTTAAAGAAGCTTTGCTGTGGAATAAATTTGAATGAATCAAACCAGGTAAAATTTTTTACATTTGTCATTCCCTCATGTCATTTTTTAGAGTAAAATAAAATACAACTTCATCGAGAAAGTGGATAATTATATGTTGCTTTCTTGTATGAATATAATTGTATGTGATTGACTTCAGAAATTAATTAGGCCTAACTGTTATTTTTAAATTTTATTGAATTCGTCATTCCCTCACTAGTGTATAAAGTGAGGGAATGACGCTGAAGTGAGGGAATGATTCAAGATGAGTATATTATTAAATTTTTTTTTGTTCAATCGTGCCAGCCAATTTTATTTCCCAAACCTGTAAAAACTATTAAATATATAAGACTAAATTATAATAAATATTAGATATACTTAGTATGTTATCATTTTCAAACTTTAGGTAGATGTAACTTAGATAAAAACATGTATTAAAATAAAATATCATTCCCTCACTATTAGTGTCATTCCCTCACTTTTTAAATAGTGAAAATAATTAATTTACTTATTAATTAATTTGAAAAATAAATTAAAAAATTAATTAATTAATTAATTAAATTGATTAATTAATTATTATAAATTAATTAATTATAAATTACTTATTTAAAAAATTAATTAATTTAAATATTAAGTATAATTTATAGGATATATACTTTCTTTATAATGCCATTACATATTTCTATTAATATAAAAAGTTTCAGAGCTTTTTATTCACTTTACTTTTTTGGGATTTTATGAACTGAAAAATGACAGTT